TGAAACAGCGAACCCCGGGCCATAGAAGAAGAACGTGCAAATTTAACCACTCGGCCAAGGGGCTGGCCCCTCTTCCATACATTTTATAGATAAGCAAACTGATGTTACATAGCACGACTGAACTCCAGTGCAATTGGTCTCCAGTGGGAGGCTTTAACTCGACTCCAGTGGATTCCGGGATGGTTTCCTGTCCCTGGTCTGGGAGGTGGCAGTGTGCTCTCCTTCCCCAAATCAGGGAGTTAAAAACCTTAGGTCTCAGGGGCTGGCCCCGTGGCCGAGTGGTTAAGTTCGCATGCTCCGCTGCAGGCGACCCAGTGTTTCGTTAGTTCGAATACTGGGCGCGGACATGGCACTGCTCATCAAACCACGCTGAGGCAGCGTCCCACATGCCACAGCTAGAAGGACCCACAACGAAGAATATACAACTATGTACTGGGGGGCTTTGGGGAGAAAAAGGAAAAAATAAAATCTTACCAAAAAAACCTTAGGGCTCAGCTCAATTCCCAGCTCAAAAGGAAACAAGCCAAAGACTGCGGCCTGACAGATCTACCTTCTCTCCCTCTCCTCTGTGGGGCCCAGACCTTGGTCCCAACTGCACAATTTGGATCAATCTTCTTAGCTTCAGCATCCCAGACATCTCACGTTTTCCTCTGGAACAGAGTATGTACATGGACACACACACACACTCTCTGTCTCACACAGGCATGCTGACCAGCAAATGCGTAGGGACACAGTACCACACACACAGTAGGCACACATAGTCCAGGTAAGACCAAGCAGCAGAGGTGAAGATGAGAATTGTTTTGCTTTGAATACTGGGCCTTTACTCCACGGAACAGGCAGAGGCAGATCTAAGCAACAGGTCAAAAGGTCAAGCCAGGGTCTGGCCCAGTGGCGCACTGGTTAAGTGTGCACATTCCGCTTTGGCGGCCTGGGGTCCGCCAGTTCGGATCCCAGGTGCGGACATGGCACCGCTCATTAAGCCATGCTGTGGCAGACATCCCACATATAAAGCAGAAGAAGATGGGCATGGATGTTAGCTCAGGACTAGTCTTCCTCAGCAAAAATAGGAAGATTGGCAGATGTTAGCTCAGGGCTGAACTTCTTCAAAAAAAAAGAAAAAAACAGGTCAAGCCAGGCCAAGTGCAGAAAAGGCTGGGCCTAGGGACCTCCCACCCCCTCCCTCTAGCCAGTAGGGTGGTCACTGGCCACTGACCCAGAACTCAGTGCTGGATCCCAGGATCAGCTCAGTGCACTCCTGTGTGGCCCTAGAAGGTGATGGGGAGAACGTGACTTGTTAGAGAACCGGGCCCCTTGGCCGGGCTGTGAGCAGGTGCTGCAGTCCCTAACACGGGTTGCTTTCTGGAAGTGGTGTGCGTCTATGTGTGTGTGCCTGTCCGTGTGTGTCAGGGGGGTAGGGGGGCAGCTTTTGATGCTGTGCTCAGCCTCCAAACCCAGAAGGAACATCTCAAGCCTGGGGAGATTTTAAACTGATTTTAGATAATTTGGCTCAGAAGAAATCTATACACATAACTTTTTTCTGGTTTAAAAGTAGTCCATGCTCATTGTAAAAAATAAATGTGGAAAACAGAAAAAACCTAGTGTAAAAAAGAAAATGAAAAGCACCTGTGCTCCCACCCCTGGTGATAATCACTGTTGACACGCTGGCGGAGTTGAGATTACACACGCACACCGCTGTCTTTTCTTGCTTCTCACGGAATCTGCAATGAGCATTTCTCATGTCATTCCTCTTCGGAAACCTGTTCAAAGGCCTTGTACCACTTTATTGTTGGACCATAATTTACTGAACTTGTCCCTGCTTATTGGACATTTAGGTGACTTCCAGTTTGTCCCTAGTGTGGAAAAGCCAGGATCAGACATCTCTGTGCAGGAAGCGCTGAGAAGCTCTGCCCAAAGGCACAGTCAGAGCGTGTGTGGGTGGTGTAATCCAGGAAAGGCTGTGGCTTGGGTTTCAGAGGCTCAGCTGGGTGTACTCTGACCAAGAGAGGGTAGCTGGCAGGAGCAGGGGTTTGAGCTGGGACCCAGCCGCCGCTGCCTGCCCTGGACCAGTGCTCCTATGGTCTCCAGAGCTCCAGGGCCTGATTCCCTCCTCTCCTTCTGGAGGACTGCACAGGTGACCTGCCAAGGCCTCCTGGTGAGGCCAGGCATAGGGGAGAGGCAAGTTTGTGTATTAATCTGCCCTGAGGGCCCTGAGGCTGGTCTCCCCCCACCCTACCCCCAGCAGAAAGGCCTCTGCATATCTCTGCCCACATGGACGGCAACAGGGACCCTGGAGGCTATGAGTAGAGGGGGCATAAGTTAAAACCAGATGGTGGAGAGGCTGGCGGATCTTGGAGAGCCCTGTCCTAGGATCCCAGAGGGTGGGTGAGATGGGCAGGGGGGCAGGGCTGGGACAGGGGCAGCCCAGGGGAAGTCTGGAAGCCAGGCGATGGCTCCACGGCTCCACTGTCCATCTGGCAAATAGGTGTCTTGCCTTTCCTTTGCCTCCCTCAACCTGCTCAAGGGGCCATGGGAGGAAAGCTGACGACTCCGCACCTCGCTCGGAGCATGCTCTGAGCATGCTCATCTATCCCTGACTTTTGAAAGAGGGCACGGAGTGGGGGATTGCACTTCTGTGGGGCTCCTTGAAGCTATGGGAACATGGGATGTTGGTGCCACCATCAATATCAGTGACCATTTAACACCACCCCTCTTGTTACAGATGGGAACTGGGGTGCCCGGTCAAAAAGCTAATAGAGGTGGATCAGGAATGGAAACTCAGTGTACCTGACTCCCAAACCCATGAGCCTTATGGCAACATGCCTTTCAGCTCCACATCTGTGGTTCACAGCTGCTGGTGAGGGGAGGCTGCAACAGGGGCTCAGAGACTGCCTTTGGGAGTCAGAAGAGACCAGTCCTGCTGGGAATCTGCCCGGTGGAGCCCAGGCACAAGCTTGGCCCTGGGAGGCCTCTGTCTTGGGCACTCCCAGCTCCCCACTGCAGGAAGGAGCCCCTCCCCCTCACTGCAGTTGGAGGGGCTCCCAGTGTTTTTGGCCCCTGGAGAGGAAGGAGGAGTGAGGAGCGGCGAGGCCCCTGCATTTGTGAGCAGACAGCAGTAACCTAAGCTCCACCCCCTCCCGAGCCTGCATGTGTCTCTGCCTGTGCAGAAGCTTCCGCCACAGCTGGTGACAGTCCAAGTGAAACTTGTAGCTGGTTAATGCGCCAACAGGGTCTCCAGGGGCATGGCAGCCCAGCCTCTCCAGTGCCCTCCCTGGGCAAAGAGTTGGATGCTTGGGCCACATGCCCTTCTTCACTCCCCTCCAGGATTCTGTGTTAGACATTCTTGGAGCCCCAGCTCCAGACTCCACAACTCTCAGGGGCTCAGAGCCTCTGAGCCGTGGGCAGCCTCTTCTGGCTCCTTTGCCCCCAGGCAGACAGCAGCCCATCTTCCTCCCTTACAGCAGGCCAGCCAGGGGGAGCTGGCACCCCATGGACACACCCTGGATGCTCTCCCCAGGCTTGCCTGGCCTTCCTCCTTCCTGGCTCTCTCCCACTCCCTGGGCATTATTCCTGGGGTCGTGTTCTGCCTTCAGGTTTCCCAAGAACGAGCTTTCTAGAATCCAGGCATTTCTCTTGGGGCAGAAGTAGAAATGGCCCTTTGTCAGGCTTTGGCTATGAATTCTTGATGGGGAGTAGGACTAGGGAGGGGGCCTTGAGGGCAGAAACCTCTGCTCACACTTTTCCCTTTACCACTAACAGAGCACCTGATTGGAGGCCGGAAATGGCCCTGGGTTCGGAAGCCCAGAATTAAGCACAGCAGCCCCTCCCACGTATAATCTACTACACATCTGCATCTCAGCCATCTCTTTGGATCCTCAAAACAACCTTGTGGGGTGGGCAGGGATTATCATCCGCGTTTTACAGTTGGTGAAGCCCAGAAGAGCATGAAAATTTGCCCAAAGGATCAAGGCCAGGACGGCCTCTCCGATCTTCGGATTATAAATCCATGGTCCTGTCACCCTCCACCTTCATGAGCAGGGTCCCTGGGGCCACCTGACCTGCCCCTCCTCTCTCTCCACACCCCACTTCTACCTGCCATCCCCTAGAATGTGTGTGGGTTTGTTGTAGACACCCTCAAGGGCTGCCTTTCCCTCCTTTAGTCAGCCCTCAGCGCCTACTATGCACCATTCCCAGGTGCACAGTAGGTGCTCAGCTCTGGCTGAAGGAGGAAGAGGCAGCCCCTTAGAGTGTCTATACTCCAGCCCTTGAGTGTGTCTACACCTCCAGCTGGGATATGCAAATCCAGACCTCAGTGCCCAGGAGGCCCTGCCTTAGACCCTACAAGAAATTCCCAAAGTCATCATTTGCCTTAGAGAGGAGCTTAGCCTCCGGTGTCTCCCTACACCATACCTGCCCCAGGAAGATCAACGGCTGGAAGCAGGGGGCGTGTGCCGAGCTCTGAGCTAAGTGTGGTCCCATCCAACCTAGAACAGATCCGCCCTCAACCCAATATCCCACTTGCCATCAAGTCCTGTCACTATCTCCCAGGGTATGTCCCCTTTTCTCCATCTCTCCACCATTGAGTCCCTGTTGTCCTCACCCTACCTGAAGCCATGGCAAAGCCTCCCAATGGTGTCCCAGTCGGCCCGGCCCTCTCCAAGCCACTCCCCACCACAGCCACGGGGAAGGCTTCAGGACCCAAATCTCATCCTATCACCCCTGCTGAGACCCCTGAAGCCCCTTTAGACTTAAACAGGGCTGTATAGTCTGGCCCCACACCCCATCTCACACCTCCCTCTGTACCCTGAGCCACATCAGCCTCCTCCCAGCCTCTCAGACCCACCATCCTGTATCTGGCATCTGCATGAAATGGTTTCCCGTACCCTCGCCTTGTGAGCTTGTCCTCTTCCTTCAGATCTCAGCTCCAAAGACTTCCCTGCGCCCTGTGTCGGTTCTGTCCATGGGATGTTCTTACAGCCCCTGCTTTACTTCTCCTCCAGGGCAGGTGTCTTCTCCACCAGACCGTAAGCTCCTGGAAGACAAAGTGTGCACCCTCCTCCTTCTCCCTGCTTCCTGCCTTTCTTGCCGTCGCATCCCCAGCATCCGTGCAGTGCCTGGCATAGAGCTGACGCTCAATAAATGTGTCGACTGGATAAATGAATGAGCCAACTCTATGAGGTAAGTCCCGCTGCTATCCCCACCTCACAAAGAAACGGAGGCTCTGAGAAGTTGAATAGCCACCTCAAGTTCCCACAGCTGGCCAATGGCAAAGGTAGGGTTTGAGGCCTCCGTGTCTGTCTGCGTTGCTCTCCCAGCAGGCTCTCTGGGGACTGCCCCCCTCCCTGGAGCTGCCCCCAGAGCCATGGAGAGTCTGAGTGAACTGCAGAACCCGCTGCTGCCTCGGAGCCCAGCCCACCTCCACAGCCCCTACGCCTACCCCGAGGCTTCGCCCAGCTGGTCGTGTCAGGAGAAGCTCTACTCCTACCTCCTGGGTGGTGCTGGCCCTGCTCACGCCCACCAGCTCCTGGACCCAGGCTCCTTGCAACTGGCCGTGGAGGCCTGGTACAGGCCCAGCTGCCTCCTGGGGAGGGATAAGGTCAAGGAACCCAGGGCAGGCAGCTGCGAGACCAGCTTCACAGAAAGCAGGGAGCCCCAGGCTGGGCCTGTGGAGCAGTCCACAGAACCTGCTCAAGTGGAAGAGGAGGTCACCATCCAGACGGTGTCCTATGGAGTTCAAGAGGAGCTGCAGGACCAGGAGGATGACCAGGAGGAGGAGGAGGTGAGTGCATGCGTTTAAAACGCAGATTTCCAGGCCCACCTCCGGGTGTTGACATTCAGTAGGCCTGGCTTGGGGCCCAGGAATCTGTATTTTACCAAAGAAAAGGTACTTCTGACACAGGTGCTGTCCACATTTTGAGAAACACTAGTGTGGGTTGACTATTTAATTTTTTAATAGAATTTATTGTTCTGGCTTTCTTAATAATATAAGTAATTTAAACTTAATACAGAAAACCGCTGGAAGATAACATTATCTTAGTTGATGATCATCCAGTCCTTTTTTTTTTCCCACTTTTTCTTCCCAAATCCCCCTAGTACATAGTTGTATATTTTAGTTGTGGGTCCTTCTAGTTGTGGCACGTGGGATGCCACCTCAGCATGGCCTGATGAGTGGTGACGTGTCCACACCCAGGATCCAAACCGGCGAAACCCTAGGCTGCCGAAGTGGAGCACGGGAACTTAACCACTCAGCCACGGGCCGGCCCATTTAGTCTTTTTTTGTTCTTTTTTTTCCCACCCTACTCCCCAAAATAGATCTTGCTGTACATAGTTTTATAACCTGATTTTTCTCTCTAAGCAACCTATTTCAGTATTGCTCTACATAATTTAATATTCTTCAACAAGGTAATTTTTAAGGGTTACACGGTATTCCATCATAAGTTCTTCCATCTCTTATTAACTCAATCTCTTGGTCGTGGGGCATTGAGATTGTTTCTAACCTTTCACAATTACCATCCGATGATGAACATACCTGTACATATGTACTTGTATTCTTTCCTTGTGATAAATTCCTAAAGATGGGATCATTGGGCCATTCTTAAGGCTTTCCATAGAGAGTGCCAAGCCCACCCCACAGTCCCACCAACAGCGGATAAGACTGCCTGTTGTCCCACATCATTGCCACTGGGTCATCCCGGGCCTGGTCACAAAACCCACTCATGCTTACAGAGTGATGCAACCTCGACAGAGAGTGAAAGTGAAGACAACTTCTTCACACTGCCTCCCAGGGACCACCTGGGTCTCACTATCTTCTCCATGCTCTGCTGCTTCTGGCCACTGGGTATCGCCGCCTTCTACTTCTCCCAGGGGGTAAGAGCTCATGGGGCCCAGTGCTTCCACTTGGGCCATCTCCCTCCACTGGAGGGCTTGGCAGAGCATATGCAGGATGGGATCAGGAGCCAGGTGGGCTGGGGCTGTTTTGCTGAGCATGGGGACGCTCCCTTTCATCAGTATATTTCTCTCCCTAGACCAGCAAGGCCATCTCCAAGGGGGACTTCCGCCTGGCCAGCACCACCTCCCGCCGGGCCCTCTTCCTGGCCACACTCTCCATCGCCGTGGGGGCTGGTCTCTATGTGGCCGTGGTGGTGGCTCTGGCAGCTTACATGTCCCAGAATGGCCATGGCTAGTGGCCAGTTGGCCTGGCATCCTGACTCCCCTGCTCTGCCTGAGGAGGGAGTGGGACTTGGAGTTGCAGACTCTCTGGAGAGCCCTGGCCCCTGAAGACAACCTGTGAGGGTGGTTTGTGGTAGGAGGGCACCTCTCAGGCTGCAGCCTGCTGGGCTCAACCCTCACTTCTTCTTGCCCGTTGCAACTAGCCCCAGAGTAGGTTCAGGGGACACCATTCTCCAGCCCAGGCTGTGCTGGGAAGCAGGAGAAGGTAGGGCTGCCAACCAGGCCATCCAGGCACAGGCTACCTCTGGCTTGAGGCTAGCTGAGAGCTCAGCCCACCCCCTTGAGGATCTCCTGCCTGCAGGCAGCCTACTGCCCAACTCTGCCAACCTCTCCACAGAGAACAGCAGGAGATTACAGGGCAGGAAGGAATGCCTGGAGGGCAGGGGACCTGCCCCAGTTCTGTCAGCCCATAGGAGTCTCCACCATGGGGTCAGTTGAGCTTCCCCAACTCTACTCTCTGGCCCCATGATGCCTGGACCCCAGCCAGCCAGGAGACACAGGGACCCCTTGGTGATTCTGGTTCTGGAGGATGCTTATTTCTCCTGTGGGCTTATAATATGCTGTAGATTCTAGACAGAGAAGAGAATCTCAGGCATGTAAACTCTGCAGCACGGATAGGTTCTTGCAGCTTCTCTATGCAGGAACAAGAAGCAGATGTGATGACAAAGAGACTGCAGGGCCCTGAAATCTTGCCAGACCACATGGGCTTCCCCACTCTGCCCCCATTCCCGGCCCCCATCATCCTTTTCTGAGCTCCTTCTGGAGGGCCCTGAGCTGGTGCGATCCCAGGTAGATGCCAGAGAGAGAGCCATCAGCCCACCAGCTGCTGAGTGCAGGGCCCTAGATCCAGCCCTCTGGGAAAGCAGTGAGGAGGGGCCTGGGGAGTAGTGGGTGTAGATGTGGGGAGGGACCCAGGGCTGGCATGGCCTGCAGTGCTAAGGAAGGCTTCCTGGAGGACTAGAAGGATGAGGAGAATTTATCTAAGGAATTTGTTTTCCTGCACCCTTGGTATTCGTGGGCAGGGGCGTGACAGGAGCCTCCCATGGCGGGAGTCATATCTGTTTGGATTATGCCTAGAGCATCCAGGCTGGGCCAAACTGTAGCCATTTCTGAGGGCTCCACCAACTCCAAGAAGAAGGTCAAGCTTGTCTGTCAAAGGCCATTGATGTTTTCCCACCTCTGAATGCTGAGGGGGCAGCAATGCGCCCCTGGTCAGCCTTGGGGCTTCTTCACTGATGCCGCCACTCAGAGCTGCTCTCAACACCCCCAGCCACTATAGAACATCCAGAATTTTAGAGACATCTGAGCAGGCAGGAGGGCAGCACATGGAAGAGCATGCCTATTGGGCTCAAGCTATAGGACCTCTTTGTGCACCACTTGGGGACCTGGTCATCTCCAGGCCCCATCTACAGCCTGGGGCTGTGTATCCACAAATGATTCACTTTGTCCTACTGTCCTCTCCCACCCCATGCATTGCCCAGTCCTCCACTCCCTGCATCCCCTGAAGTCCCACAGGTGCAGATCAGCAGTTTTAATGTCCGATTATTGTAAATATTTATCCTTGTAATAAACATTTCTGTAACACCTGGTGCCCTCTGGGCCTCTTGCTGTCCTTGCCTGCCTCCTCCTTCGCCTGCGTCCCATTCTTCCCCACGACTGACCTCCATCCCTACATCTGCTGCTCCTGGCCTCTCAAGAGGACAGGCCCACATCCGGGCCTTAGGAGGAGGGGCGGTCAGAGTGCTCACCCCATCCCAGGACCTCTGTGCTTGGAGTTGCCTGGATGTAGGGCGACGGCGTGCATTTGTCTCTCTGCGAGACAAGCCAAGGTCCATGCCTGAAGAAAAATCTCTTCTAGGCTCAAGAGTCTTGAGCTCAGGAGGAAGAGATGTGAGCCAGGGTGACTGAGGCCCCACTGAGCTGCCTGGAGCTATCAAGGCTGGAGGCAGCTCTACTCCCTTGATGCCCACTCTCGAGTCCCTCATATCTCCCTCCTGGGGGCTGCTCCCAGGGGGTGTGGGGAGAAAGCCATCTCTTCCTGTTCAGCTCTAAATCCCCAATATCCTCTCAGTCCCAGGCCCCCAGGAGCTGCCAGCCTGGCCTCTATGTCACTGCATGGAGGACCCTGGCACACCCATACCCTTACATGTCTACTTGCAAGGCACAGCTATGCACATGCACACACATGCTGCATGGGATGGAGAATAATGCAGGACGTAGATTAGGGACTGCTCTTGGAATAACAGCTGAGGAAGGGAGAAGAAGGAAGCAGATCTGAACAGCGGGGAAGTCCGGCTGTGATGCAGACCTGAATGACCGTCTGGACCAACCCAAGATGGGGTCTGGAGCCAGGATGCTCTTCAGAGTTGATCCAAGTTGGGACAAAGGGCCAGGCCTTTATACCTGCTCATCAATCAGTCATTGGATGTGGGCCACCCAGAAAGGGGTGTGACCTCCAGCAAGGCAGCTTTCTTCAGCGGAGGCAGCCCTCAGAGGGGGCTTGCCCTGAAGGCTGTTGCTGACGGCACCCACAGCACCTGGGGGACTAAGCCTATCATTCCTGCAGGGGCCCTCAGCGGCACATCAGCGCACATACCGGCCACACAGCAGTAGCCCCAGTTGTGCAACCTAGATCCCCTCGGCATTTACCTCCACACATCTAAGGCTGCTTCCTGGGAACTCTGTGACTCCTGGCCTACAGGCAGGACAAACCGAAAGTGCCGGAGAGCTAACAGCCCATTGGCAGCTTTCAACCTATGATAGATGGGAGCTGGTGGACAGATACCCGAGATGTCCTGCCCTCTGGATGAGAGAACGCTGGTCATGTTCTACACCAGCTCTCAGGCTTCCCCAGTGGGACTGGGCTTCAGTCCCCACAGCAGCAATTTGCTTGAGAGCATGTCCCTCACTGGCTGGCTTCCTCTCCATCTTCTTCCTCACTCCCCCACTGTGCTTCCTGGGATCACCACCCAATAAACTACCTGCAATTCAACCCTTGTCTCAGGGTCAGCTTCTGGGGGAACCCAAACCAAGACACATGTATTCACATACACATATATGTAGCATATATGTGCACATGTGTGTACCTGCACCTACATACATGCAGACACAGGCACGCAGCCACGCACATGCACACACTCACATGTGCACCCACACATGCAGCACGTGCAAGGGGTGAAGGAGATACAGTGGCTGAGAACTCTCACTGGCTCTGCTCGCTCTGCATCTCACCCCATCACCAGCCCGGCTGGGCCCTCAATGGGTAGTGGACAGCTCACCCTCTAGTCCCGGCCCTCCGCCGGCTGGGCAGGCTCCCTCGCAATCCAGATGATTCCCACCTCCTTCCCAGCCCTCCAGAATGCTGCTCTAGGCCTTGAGAAGGGGAGAAGAAGCCAGATGAATTCCCACCTTCAACCCTGGTCCTGCCCTCCCCCGCCTTTCCACCCTCCCTCCATCCCTTACCCCCAGCTGCAAATTCGGGCTCTGCAGGAAGAAATGGAATCAGAAATGGAGCCACTGGGGGCTTCCCTCCTGCAGCCCCCTAGGAAGGGCCCATCCTGTGGAGCCTGTCCTGAGCAGTCCCTGCAACATGGGCAGGGCCCCCTCTGCTGTCATGCTGAGGCCTGCCTCTGGGCATGCCTGGGGCGCCGTAGGCCTCCTGCTTCCCAGCTCTGCCTGTGTCTCACCGCCTGAGGCTCCTGGGGATGGGGGGACGGGGGGAGCTTGCTGTTACCCCCGTTCAGGCTGCCTCCTCGAGCTGGCAGAGAGAGGCTGGGGCAGGGAGGGTCCCCTGGGTAAAGGTGCCTGTGATGAGCTGCAGTGCCAGCACATCTGTGCAACTATTACCAATTATTTTCCTCACTATAAACACCCAGCAGGAAGGCAGGGAAGCAACCAACCCAAACTGTTTAAAATAGAAACCGAAATTGCTGCACAGGGAAGCCGGGCCAGCCGGCAGAGCAGGGCCCTGCACCAGGAACCGGGGCTCTCCCCGAACCAGCTGCCCTTCAATCACACTTGCTCCTGCTACCCCAGCCTGCAACCCCACCTCAACCTCCTCCTCCACCGGCCAGGCAGAATGAGATGGGAAAAGTCCCTGCCTAGGAGATGCGCGGTAGGAGGGTGGGCGCCAAACGGGCCCTGCATTGGGGAGGGAAGATGGCTAAGCCAAGTGGCCACTAAGGAACCTGAAGCTGAGGCCACCGGGCCCATGGCCCAGGGCAGCTTCTGGGCAAGCTCCTACCCTGGCCAGGTGCTGTGTGGAAAGGAATGGGGAGAGGAAGCCTTCCTTCATTGTTCCCAAGTGCAGGGGAGGAGGGTTACCCCGGGGGTGGCAGGCCAGGGGCCTTGGGACGCTGGGCCAAGTGGGAAGAGTGACCTGCCACCTCCTCTGAGTGAAGGAATTTTTCTGATGGTAGAAATGCCTAGAAAGCAGTTCCCAGGGCCCCAGCAGCCTTCCCTTCCCTCCCTCGCCCCTAAACAGGGCTGAGAGCCAGCAGGTTGCCCCTACAGTCACATGAGCTGTCAAAATGTTGAAACACTTCCATACCGGTTGCTAAACAGGCCCTGCCCCAAGAACCCCAAATGTTTCACTTTCCTGCCTCGCTGGCCCCTCCCCCAGGTCCCCCAGCCATCCCCAGGATCTGAAGAGTGGACAGCTGGCACAGCAGTCCCCTCCCCCAAGTGTGTCAGTCCCTCCGTGCCTGGGCTGCCCTGACTGTTAAATATCTCAAATGTCACCCTTGCTCACAAAGACATCATCTGTGTGCCCACAGCCTCTCTCCTCCCTAAGGATGCTCCGGGGAGGGGGCCCTAGGCAAACCCACAGCTCCTCAGCCTGCCTTGGATCCCTGCTGCTTTCCAGAGACAGTCTCAGCACATTTCCTGGGCCTAGCCAGGCCTGAGCCCCAGTCAGGGGATGGGAGCGGGGTGTGCTGAGGTGGCCAAGTCGTCAAGGATGCAGCAGGTGATCTCGTCACAGTCCCACATGCTACAGGTGAGAAAACCAAAGCCCAGAGAGGGAAATGAGTTACCCACTGTCACCCAGCAATTTATGAGCCAAGCTCTGGCCTTGCGTCCCAGGCCCCGGAGTTGCTGAGCTAAGCTGGCAATGTCTCTGCCTGTTGTGGAATCACAGAAAACCCAGGGACGATGGCTGCCTCTGCTGTGAATATTAACAACCTTGCTTCCCTCGGCCTTCCCTTCCGGGCTGCCTCCTGCTTCAAAGGCTGCCCTGGCCAGCCCCTCCCTGGGGCTGGTACCTCGGCCCTTCTATTTTGGTGGCATGGCAGGGGTGGGGCATAGCCTTGCCTAGCCTTGCCTGCCCCTCACGGGTGCTCTCACATCCTCTCTGCCATAGGGGGAGGCGCTACTCTGGGAGGTGGGGGGGCCACGGAGACACTCAGATGTTCTGAACAAAAATAAAAGGTGCCCGGGTGGCCTATCTGCATTTTCAAACACCTCCAACCTACATCCCTTGAACTGCTTTCACCTCTTGCCCTCTAAGGAGCTGGCAGGCTTCAAAGCCACTTCCAGCTCCAAGAGGAAAGGACAGAGAAAGAAATTCCCAGAGGGCAGGGTGTGCCCAGAGGCGGCCAGGAAGGGGACAGACCGCATGTGCGCCACACCAGGCAGGGCCAGGGGTGAGGTGGCAGGGGAGGGCTGTGTTGACAGCACCTTCAGAGCACCAGGACCTTCACACCTGCTCTCTCACCACGGACACAGATGTTCCTGTCCCCATTGTACAGATATGGAAACCGAGGCCATCAAGGCCCAACTCCTGGCCATTTTCCCTCCTTAATCCCCTTCAGCCCTGTTCCCGCCGCCTGGGAAACACAGCCTATCACATGCTTAAAAGTCCAGAGTCTGGAGCCAGACGCCCAGTTCAAATCCTACCCTCTGCTTCTGTGTAACCTCGGGTGTTTTCCCGCCCGCAAAACCGGATCCCGATGGAGCGTCCGGCATAGGGTGACCATGGCTATTGTACAAGTTAATACAGGTACGCTGGCTCCTACCACAGTGGGTGTCTGTGAAGTGCTCTGTGGAAAGGTTTTTCACTGTCTCCTGTTGGCTGCCACCCTAAATGGCTTCCCTGCCAGAAGTTCCTCACCCCATCCCCGCCCCCATCCCTTCCACAGCCAGAGAGATGAAAGCCAAAGGCCTGGTGTTTGGAGACCTGGCTGACCCCTCGGCAGACCTCGGCTGGTAACAAGCTGAAGGCACAGGCCTCTTTCCCACATTCCCACTGCCCAGAATTCCCTTATCTGCCTCCACTCCCGGACCTTTTTTCCTCCAGCCTGATAAAAATCTGCCAAGACACAGTTCTAGAAAATCTCATCTTCTCTAGCCCTTTGTGACAACTCTCCTCCATGACCCCAAAACTAAGGAGAACTCACTGCCCCCTTTCATGAAGCTCTGCCATGGCCCTTCAAATCGACATGGCTGCCACATCGACAACCCATGTGCCCCTCCGGGGTGGGACTCCTGCCTGCTCCCAGCATCGCTGGGTCTGATGCAGGGCCCACTCTCAGTAGATGCTCAGCACATGCTCACTGAGCATATCCCAGGGAAAGAAGTGACTTGCC